TGTGCGGAGGCACATTGAAGGAGATAGAGATGACCAGGCAAGTGGCCTCTTTGTAAGAGGCCACACTAGCCAACAGGGAAAGACCAAATCAAAGCACAAATCAAAGTCTCGTGTGAACAAGAAGAATACAGAGTGTTGGAGTTGTGGCAAGAAGGGGCACTTTGAACGAGATTGCCCAATGTCAAAGTCCAAGGAAAAGGCGAGTGCATCTACAGTTGAACAGGTACATAATTTTGATAATGATTATGTACTAACAACATCGTGTAATAATAATAGTAGTTATGAAAACAAATGGGTGTTAGACTCTGCTTGTACTCTGCATATGACGTTCCGAAAAGACTGGTTTAGCAGCTACGAGAAAAGTGGAGGAACCGTAGTAATGGGCAATAATGCAACTTGTGCAATAGTTGGCATTGGCTCAGTTCGGGTTCGCTGCCATGATGGAATCGTGAGGACTATTACACAAGTCCGTCATGTTCCTGATCTGAAGAAGAATTTGATCTCCTTGGGTACTCTGGATGAACAAGGCTACAGGTACATGAGCGAAGCAGGAACTATGAAGGTGACTAAAGGTTCTTTAGTCATGCTGAAAGGCAAGCTGGAGAACGGCCTTTACACATTGGCCGGAAGCACCATTGTTGGCTCTACAAATGCATCTACAGTGCAGTTATCTAATGATGACAAGGCAAGACTATGGCACATGAGACTGGGTCATATGAGCGCACGTGGACTGGAGATGTTGAGCAATCGTAAACTTTTGGAAGGTGAGAAGATCAGCACGCTTGACTTCTGTGAGCACTGCGTTCTAGGGAAGCAGAAGAAGGTCAGCTTCAGCACTGGCAAACACAAGACAAGAGGAGTGCTAGACTACATCCATTCAGATTTATGGGGTCCTTCTAAACTTCCATCGAAGGGCGGAAAGAGGTATCTTCTCATTTTTATTGATGATTTCTCACGAAAGGTTTGGGTGTATTTTTTGAAGGCAAAAAGTGATGCTTTTGAAGCATTTAAAGAGTGGAAGATTTTGGTTGAAAATCAAATGGAGCGGAAAATCAAGTATCTTCGCACAGACAATGGCTTGGAGTTTTGCAATGAAGAGTTTAATGAATTCTGCAAGGTTCATGGGATCTCAAGACATAGGACTGTCAGGCATACCCCACAGCAGAATGGAGTTGCCGAGAGAATGAACAGAACTCTTCTTGAAAAGGCTCGTTGTATGCTCCTACAAGCCAAAATGTCCAAAGTATTTTGGGCTGAAGCAGTTCACACTGCTGCTCATATTGTCAATCGATCTCCAGCATCGGCAATTGACTTTAAGACTCCGAATGAGGTATGGTCAGGTGAACCCTCTAACTATTCATACTTACGAGTATTTGGGTGTCCAGCTTATTATCACGTTAATGAAGGAAAGCTTGAACCAAGGGCTAAGAAGGCCATATTCGTAGGGTATGTGGATGGAGTAAAAGGGTACAAACTTTGGTGTTTGTCTTTACTCAAATTTATAGTTAGTAGAGATGTCACCTTCGATGAATCCTCTATACTTGATCCCCGTAAAGTTTCCGTGGAGTTTTCAGGAAACAAGAACAACGAGCAGGTGGAGCTTCCGGTGGAGCTTGCCAAGGAAAAGGATCAAGAGACTCAGGTTAAAGATGAGTCAGAAGATGTAGGCGTTGAAGAACTTGCTGTCAATGAACCATACACAATTGCGAAGGGGAGGGAGAAGAGGCAGACACGAGAACCGGAACGCCTTATAAATCAAGCAAACTTGATTGCATATGCGTTCGTAGCTGCACAAGAAGAGATTAAAGATCTGGAGCCCTCCTCGTATATTGAAGCAACTTCTTGCAAGGATGCCGCACAATGGCGGTTAGCCATGACTGAAGAGATGGAGTCTCTTCACAAGAATCAGACATGGGTCTTAGTGAAAAGACAAAAGGGGAAGAGGACAGTTGGATGCAAGTGGGTCTACCGAAAGAAAGAGGGAATTCCTGAAGTGGAAGATGCTAGGTTCAAGGCGAGATTGGTTGCAAAAGGTTTCAGCCAAAAGGAGGGAATTGACTACAATGAGATTTTCTCTCCGGTCGTGAAGCATAGCTCAATTCGCGTGCTACTAGCATTGGTTGCACAATTTGACTTGGAGCTTCAACAGCTTGATGTCAAAACTGCTTTCTTACACGGTGATCTAGAAGAGACAATCTATATGGATCAACCTGAAGGTTTCCTAGCTGAGGGAAAAGAAGATCACGTATGCCAACTAAAGAAGTCTTTGTATGGTTTGAAGCAATCCCCTAGACAGTGGTACAAGAGGTTTGATGCATTCATGACTACACATGAATTCTCAAGGAGTGCATTTGATAGTTGTGTGTATCACAAGAAGATGTCTGGTAACTCAATAATTTATTTACTGTCGTATGTTGATGATATGCTTATTGCTGCTAACAACATTACAGAGATAAATGCTTTGAAGAAACTATTGAGTAAGGAATTTGACATGAAGGATTTAGGAGCTGCAAAGAAAATCCTTGGTATGGAGATTTCAAGAGAAGACGATGTTGTACATCTTTCTCAGAAGAGGTATATTGAAAGGGTTCTCGAGAGATTCAATATGCAAACGTGCAAGCCTGTAAGTACACCATTAGCTCCTCATTTTAAACTTTCAGAGTCACAAATGCCTCAGTCCGAGGATGAGGTGGAGCATATGTCAAAGATTCCTTATGCCAGTGCAGTTGGTAGTATTATGTATGCTATGGTATGCACACGTCCAGATATTGCTCAATCTGTAAGTGTGGTAAGTAGATACATGTCCAACCCAGGAAAGAGGCATTGGGAAGCTGTCAAGTGGATATTGAGATATCTCAAAGGAGCTTCTGGTGTTGGTCTTACCTTTCGAAAAAGTGGTACAGGTATTTCAATTCTCGGTTATGTGGATTCTGACTATGCAGGAGATCTTGACAGAAGAAGGTCCACAACTGGATACATCTTTACCCTCGTTGGCAATGCCGTCAATTGGAAGTCGACTTTGCAGTCGATTGTTGCTTTGTCTACGACAGAAGCAGAATACATGGCAGCAGCGGAGGCGGTAAAGGAAGCTATCTGGTTGAAAAGTTTAGTAGCGGAATTGAGTTTGGTTCAGCTGGAATCAACTCTTAGATGTGATAGTCAGAGTGCTATTCATCTAATGAAAAATCAGAGATTTCATGAGCGCACTAAACACATTGATGTCAGATTTCATTTTATTCGAGATGTTATTGATGAGGGAACTATCAAGGTCGTGAAGGTTATCACAGACGATAATGCTGCAGACATGTTGACCAAGATAGTCCCGCTCGCTAAGTTTGCACACTGCAAGGACTTGGCGGGGGTGTGCATCAACTGATGCAACTCCGAAGAGAACAGTTGCTAGGTGGAGGTGGTATGTTCAACAATGGTTTGATTCTTCTTGTTTCTTACAACGGGGTTGCCCAGTAAGCTTAGAAGTTTTGGCCAGAGTTGTTCACACGCTCGAAACGCAAACCAAGGTGGAGATTGAAAATGTTGGTTTATGTTTAGTTAACAATGGCATGCTGAAAATGTTGGTTTATGTTTAGTCAACAATGGCATGCCAATTGGAAGAGTTGGTGGAAAGAGTTGGTGTGGATGCTAGGAGGAAGCTTCCTCCTTTGATGTCACCCATGACATCAAGAGGAGGTAGTTTGATGTCACCAATGACATCAAGAGGAGGTCTTTACCTCTATAAATAGATGCACTCCTTCACTTGTAGAAATCATCCCAAAATAATACAATACATTGTAGTGAGTAGAGAGTTAAGAGAGAAATTCTCTTAAGTGTAATTGAGAAATCTCCCCTTCCTTTGTTAATATTAAAAGGGCAATTGTTCTCTGGTGGACGTAGGATTATTTTGATCCGAACTACGTTAAATCTTGTGTTCTTTCTTTTACGTTTCCGCTAACACTAATATTTACATATATGCCTAAATAGTTTTGATGATTTTAGTTACCATGTTCTTTGATTGCATAGTTCCAGGTTAATAAGTATCCTTTGAGTTTAAGCCAGTTATTTTTGGAGACCAGCTGTGGTGATCAAAGTTATGTGTGCTGTTTAAGGTTTGCGTCCATAAATGGGATAATAAATTGGATAATTAGCTAAAGTTTGAGGAGTCACAGTTTTCATAGTTTATCTGCTACAAGTCAGATGTTGGTATAATACTTCTAGACTCTAGCATAGAGGCTGACTCACTTTAATGCAATCAAGTAGTTATAAAGATAAAAGGAAGAATGCACTAGGAATGATGTGATGCTGTTATCTATTGATTGATCATTATCACCATTCACCACAGATCGCTTTGAGACGTGAAATGATGGGTGAGGATGCTCCTTTTTGGAGGTTCTCTGCAGCTTCTTATCCAGATCTCGAGGAAAAAATTCCCAGTGTTGGTATCCTGAGCAACAAAAGTCGATCAATTGCCAATGAAGCAAGCAATGATTCAAGGGTATATAATGTTCTCAAACCCACTTTCTGGTTGTAAGTTATTTTCATGCATTTTTGGTGTTTGATGGTACATATACACCAGGTCTTGGTTGTTGTAGACATGCTTGAGAGTTCCATGAATTTCTTGTGAAAACTTGTAGAATCTTGCTATATGTTATGGGTCTAATTTCATTCAACTAGCTCATTAAGATTTCCGATTCTAGCTTCTATTCCCAACTTCTCATGGCTTTTCCCTTTGGATGTGATTTTCATTGACTAAATGTTGATCTTAAGTCATCACCTATACTTAGCTTCCTGAAAGATTCAAAACATAGTAGTTCCAATTTGTAAAATAAATTTTGTGGTGTAAACAAAACAATATGTACAGTGTGAAAGCTATTCTCTTCCTAAGCCTTAAAGAAAAGGGAAAAACTAAAAAAGTAATGGGATCTATAAAAACATTGCATTTCCATTTCGCAAATTAAATCTTTGTGATGTTAGAAGAATCAATTTACGCAGTGAGAATGCTGGGATTTAAATAAAAGGAAAACGAGAAAAAAGTTATACAATTATCTAATCTTTCACTTCGAAGTTTTTTGAAATTCCTAGAGGCAGAAGTGTGGGTATGAACTGGGCTTCTTATTACCACTTATCATTGCTGATAGTGAATTTGGAGGCCTTAGATTCTTGGATCATAATCATTGAGTTTCAGGTTGCAAATGAACGATGTGCATTCTTGATTCTACTTTTCTCTTTCATGATGAAGGCATGATGCCTTGTCAAAACAAATTTCAAACTTGTTTCAGTTTACTTGTTAAATTTCAGGAGGTCATCCCATAATCTATTATAAGATTAGGTTATCAAGAAAAAAAATTATGGTTGTCCTTAGCTGTGTGAGCTGATGTCATTCATATTTTTTTTTTGACAAAGGTAACAGTTATGTATTATAAAAAAAGAAACCCAGCACAAAGGTTGTGCTGGTAACCATTTACAGATTCCAAATGAAGCAAAAACCTATCCTTGTTCTTCTTACAAGGATTCTATGATGTCTAAAATCGATTCTACATCATTCACATAATTTTCTTTACACCAAAAATGAAACAACAAGATACAGTTCATCTTTAACTTATGAATATGACTGCTTCTATCTTCAAAACACCTGGCATTCCTTTCCTTCCAAACTATCCACCATATGCACATTGGGATCAAATTCCACCAGGTTTTTTGCCTCAGTAAATCTGTTGAGGTTTTTGGCATAGTCCACCTAAGTCTTGCATTTCTTCTGGCTCTCAGATTCTGCTTTATTTATGATGGTTTAATGTGTTGAATCTCAATAAGCGGAATTTGCATTCAGTTTTAGCCAATGTGTGAATTTCTATTTGATTTTCTTGCTGTGTTTCATTTAATCTAAAGTTACAAATCCTTTTTTTTTTAAATTAATATAGGGTGATGTTTATCCCGTGGAATCCAGTGATGATATCTCGGTTCAAGTACTTGATGCCCACTGGGGATATCTGTATGATGGAGATGTAAGGACCCAATCTGCTTCTCAAGATCAATCTATTTATTTCTGTGATCCATGGAGAAACCTACATTACTCCGTATCTGTGTATCCTATTTTAGTCCCTGAACTATTGAGCCTTCTAATAGATGAAAAGCTGAATTTTCCTTTCCAAAATTGAGAAAGATTGTCGGAAAAACACGGTGATTAAAAAAAATCATGCACATCCCTCCCAAATTCCACATTCTAAATTCACAGGACCTATTTGTTAAAGCAAGTATTAATTAGTCAAAGTGGAGCCATTGTTAGACAAGAACTCTAGTCTACCTTATCAAAAAAAGAAGAAGTCAAGAACTTTAGTCTTAGCCGATAAAAGAAACTTATGGAGGCTATTCTGGTGGTTCTCTACTTCTCTTGATTCCCTCTACATGCTACAAATCTGATCATCATTTTGATACTGCAGTTGAGTGGGCTTCGGTCGCACACAATAGTCATGCTTGTCAACAATGCTCCCGGGGTCCTCAATCTGATAACCGGTGTTATATCTCGACGAGGATATAACGTTCAGGTTGTTTTTTCCACTGATTCTTGCTGTTTCCTTTACAATTTCTTTTCTGCTTGATTTTTTCGTCCGAGCTTCATTCCAATGATTATGTTGCAGAGTCTTGCTGTTGGCCCTGCAGAATCAGAGGGGCTTTCACGCATTACAACGGTGATCCCTGGAACTGATGAAACTATAGGAAAATTGGTCAAGCAATTCTACAAGTTGGTAGATATTCATGAGGTAAGTGTACAAGCTGATAGATGTTCACGAGCTAGCTACAAGCTGATTTGAGATGAATAGGTGCTTGGGAAAAAGTTTACCTACCATGGAAACTCAATATACTATAAGAGGGGGCCAAACTAGTTTTAGTATTTGTTACTGTAATTGGTTTAAGGAATTATTTAGTTTTCCGTGAATTTGACCAGTGAGAATCCTGGTCTTTATCTGGCCTAGCGATCTGATAATCGTTTTGTCTTTGTTTTTAAAGTTTCCCACCTATTCTTAGAGTTAGCGCTTTTCTGTTCAACCTTCCTGGTAGTGTGCTTAGCCTTGTTCATCTTCCAGACTCTTTGCGCTTTGCCACCTCTGTTTTAGTTTCACAAAAACTTAAAAGCAAGCAAGTATTGTACTTTCACCTCTCCCTCACCATTAAGGTCATAGTGATTAAAACCACACCTTCTCAATGAGCAAATAAAGCTTATAGAGCAAAAGAAAATTTTCAGCTTGACTGAGATTTTTTTCCACTCTAGGAATATGGCTGTCACATTATTGGAGCTATTATAATAAATTTCAATCTTCACAGATATGTACTTAAATATTGTTCGTTGGAGTTAGATCAGACGGATAATACAATTGTGCTTGGTGTTTTTAGGTTCAAGATATAACTCATTTACCATTTGCGGAGCGGGAGCTAATGCTCATTAAAGTAGCCGCCAATGCAACAGCAAGGAGGGATGTACTTGATATTGCCAGTATTTTCCGCGCTAAACCTGTTGATGTGTCTGATCATACAGTAGCATTGGAGGTGAAACTTTTTTTTTGGGGTTAAGTAACATTCATGTTTATAACTTAAATCTCTTTTTTTGGTGGTGTTTTCAACTCTTTTTGTGCTGTTACTTGTTGTAGGTATGCTCACATCTTATAGAAGATTAAGTTTTTAATTGTCAATTATTTATATCTTTATTTATCATGTTCGTTCTAGCGATTTCTTACGTCAGTCAATCAGTTAATCATTAATGCACACATGTTAACGCCATTCTATTAACATACTTGACCAGTGGCGCAGTTAAGATTTTGCACAAGCGGTGTAGGTCTATTGTCACGATTCCGCTTGTAAATGGGTTCAACTCTGGGAATGTTGTAGTTTAAAGGCTCTACTTCAAGTACTGTGATAGTTATTTTTGTATTATTTTCAAGCGGTGTCAGTTTGTTCTATATATGCATATTGCTTTTGTAAAAGATATTATTTTTAATTGGTGCTTCTGGAAAAGATATTAGTAATATTTGCTCTCATGTACAAAGAAGTTCTTCGCAAATAATGAAAAGGACTGTTCGTGAATACCTGTGCCATTTGCCCAGATTCCTCATTGACTTCTCTCTGAATTTGATTGCGTGCACTTTTTGCAGTTGACTGGAGACTTTAACAAGTTGCTGGCATTGCAAAGATTACTGGAGCCTTATGGCATTTGTGAGGTTTGTTTTTCTAAGCTGCATTTTGATTTGTAAACGTATATAGGCCGGCATCTTGAAAGTGGTATCCTGCATTTGGACAATCTGAGTTTGTATGTTCTAAACCTTTTTTCTTCCTTTCCTTCTCTCCAACCTCCGGCTCCTTGGAGAAGAGCAATCCATAGTTTAGCGCATGAAGTTAGAACGTGTCTTGTAACCAGAAGGATGAACCGAACATTATTTGACTTGACGGGCTTGGTTAGCCTGAGAAAGATTCGGAAAACTTGCATCCTTTTTTTATTATTTATAAATTTTATTTACATCAGGGGTGGGGGGAACTGGGAAGAGGAAGGGGATGTTATGCTACTGATGGGGTTTGACCCCTCCCCCCTCAAATGTGGAAGGCAGGAAGCTCACCAAGTGAGCTAGCCCTTAACCCCAGAAAGAAAGCTTGCATCTAGTTTTTACTTTTAACTTCTTCTTTTTTGTGTTCCAAAAGTTGACTGTTTTAGAATCGAACTTCAAGTACAGTTCTAAGTGATCTGAGGTTGTGAAGTATGTGCATTTAAAGGCTCCAATGGTAATGCTTGTGCTTCTCTTGTTCTAGTGATGTGTTTGTTTCTACAACCGTATTAGTGACTTAGTTATCTGCGAAATAGATGAAGTTAACATCAAGCTTCAAACTTCCATTGTTAACCTTGAGTCTGTAGCTACATTTTTTATTCCGAGACATCCAAGCTCTTTGAGCAGGACTTCTCCTGATTTATCTTTGTCATGCAACATGGTTGATATATGATTCTTGCATGCGAATCTAAAGACATTAATAAGATATGTTTCAGACGTAAAAAGTTTCAAGAAGATACCATTAGCGTACAGTCATCTGATCTGGAAACTGTTCCCTGGATAATATTTGACAAGTAGAACAATCATACATTATATGGCGTGATGGCCCTACATCAATGTACTGTGATGATCTTGAATTATCTGCAGCATACCAATGAAGACATCAAGTCATGAAATGTAAATAATTCTTAACCACTGAAGTATGAAGAGTGAATGATTACTTTGGCAAATGCCTTAACTTTATTAGATGTTCTGGAGTCGTTAGGTTTTTGGTTTTCCACATCCATATGGAGCCTTGATACTTGCACTCTTTGAGTCTTGAGCCTTGCGTTATAAGGAGTCCCACCATCTAGTTGGAGTTGTGTTCTGCTGCACTGTTGGGAAATTTACCAACATGGTCTGTAAGATCTTAATTAACGGACAAGAAGTAAATTAGGGAGATGGATTTAGTGTTGAATCTTGTAAAATAATTAACTAGAGGATGCATTTAGAACAAGAACCTGTACTTCAAAGCCTGCTTTTGAGTAGTGTTACCCTCTTATCCACATCATCATTTTTCCCCCTTGTAGGTGGCTCGTACAGGGCGGATAGCATTGGTGCGAGAATCAGGCGTGGACTCGACATCCCTCCGGGGTTATCCTCTTCCTTTATAGTGCTAGTTAAATGTCTAAGTGCATTTTAATATGGCCGAGTTCTTTTTCTTGCTGATTTCTACTAGTCTGAGAAAAGAGAGTTTTGTTGTATGCTATTTATAGTGCGAGCAGGTCCCTGATAAAAGTAAGTTTGTCACTATCACGTTAGTGACAGTTCTGTTGTATTATTTAGGCATTCAATCATAGAATTTTAATTGAAAAAAGTTGACAGAACTCCAAAATGTGGAGTAGAGCCTAGTAAGTTGAGTAATGTTGTATATTAACGCAGTTGGGAGAAGTGCATGTGAAATATCTATATGCTAGTTACTAGTGAATTTGTTTGCACTAAATAATCATTTTTTAAATATTCGATAATTAAATCATAGCTCTTATTTTATGAGTTTCTTATAATTTCTGCAATTAATTGACTCCAAGGTAATGTTCATCTTTAATTAAATAATAATAATAATAAAGTATGATATGGTAGCTTGAAAACTAGAACAATAACCTGTTATAGCGGGTTAAATTGCATTGATAGTGTAAATACTCTTATACACTATCACTGCATATACATTATATCCTTTGCATATACTATGTGCATGAGAATATATTGGGTATGTTTATGTTGTTATACTGAGTACATTTTCTTAGGATATTCTTAATTAAGCTTTTCTAGCAGCTTTAATCTCATGAAGGCGGTAGACAACATCATCAACAATCAAAGATAAATCCTTGAGTTTCCTCTTAACCATAGTAGCAAAAACCAAATCTTCAACATCTTTAAGAGCATTGACACACATTTTCCCATTCTTTTTTGTCTTCTTCAACACATGTTCCATAGGCTGTGAATAATCATCAAATAAGAAATTATCTGATGATTTAAGATGCTTTACTAAATAAAGTGTATCCTTAAGCTCATCCATATTCTCCATTACACCTTCAACACAACCAAAAACTTGAGAATTACTTGTAGCTTGTAAATACCTTAAGCTTTTAAGCTTAAGCAGAGAGTTTATGAACATTTTTATTTCCTTAACTTCGCGAATGCCTTGAGCTATGGCGTCGTGTGCTAGTGTTTTTGCCTTTTCAATTTCAAACTCATTTGATGATCTCCTTGCACTTCCAAGAAGAGTAAAGCTTGATAGAAGAATTGTAAAAAGAAAACAAAGAACGATAAAATTCTGATTGTTAGTCATTTCTGAGTTTTCCTCTTTTTGTTTTTCCTTTTGTTGTGTGGAGTTGTAATTTTCTGGATTGAATTTATAGTTTTGTAATTTAGAAGGAAATATGGGGAATTAAGAAAGTTCAGAGATTGTTGAGTATAGGGAAAAAAGATATGGTTATTCTGTTTCATGTGGCATGAATGGAAACATTAATTAATTAGGCTGATTATTAGGACCAATTTTTCTTGTAAGGAAACCATGCATAATTTTTTAGGCCTTTTGCAGGGCAATGCAAATTTGATGGGTTGAAGAAGTAATAAGAGTTGGATAAATTCCCTTATTACCTACCTATATGCAAACAAGAAAAAAAAAAGGAAAAAGAAAAGATGACATTAAGTAATCCTTAGAAAATAATCTTATATTAAGATATATGGTATAATATTCACAAATTTTTGACTTCTCTTGTTGATATTTAATTATTTTCTATTCTTCCTCTCGAGCGAAGGGTCTTTCAGAAGCAACCTCTCTACCTTCCAAAGGAAGGGATAAGATCTGCATCCACACTAGCCTCCTCGAACCCCACTTATGAGATTTTACTGGATTTGATTGATTGATCATATAATATTCACAAATTTTCTTTATAGTACTATATATGATATAGTAATAATTATTACATTATAGTTTTTACATAATTAGACCGTCAAAAAATGACATATAGTTTATAAGACCATTTTGTACTTTTCCCATATCCCTTTCATGAAATAAGGGTGAAATTTAAAAATAGCCAGATTTACAAGCGGTAATTAAAAATAGCCACAATTTTAAAAGTAACCAAAATTTAGTCACTTTTTATGTAAAGATAAATCTGAACAAAAATACTGTTTAAAATCCGAAAAATATTCCAACATAATATATTGGAGTTCGAATTTTTTACATGTGAATTTCTAGCATAATATACTGGAACTCCAACATAATATACTGGTCCAATATAATATACTGGTCCAACATAATATGTTGGAAGTTCATACACAAGTGCTCCAATCTTCAGTGTATTATGCTAGAACTTTCTGTGTGCTGGAGTTCCAATATAATATGCTGGAAGTTCATACACAGGTGCACCAATCTCTAGTATTATTATGCTGGAACTTCGTGTTGCAGCAAAATTGTGGCTATTTTTCAATAACTTTGCAAACGCTGACCATTTTTCAATTACTGATCCGAAAACTGGTTAGCCCGTGCCATTTTCACATGAAATAACGACATTATAATTTTCTTAACACTCCCTTTTCTAAGCTAGCTTCCTCAAATTAAAATTTCTCGACTTTAGAAATAAATTGGTTTCGGTTAAATTCCCTTTGCGAAAAATTATAAGTGAAATATTGTTTAGAGTTCAAGATTTACCTCGGTTAGAGACAAAACGATGACGTCCTGACTCTTTTTAATAACTTTTTTTTCCCCTTAATGTATTATTAATCTAAAGATTTTATTTAAAAAAATGTATTTGAATTGTTACAGAAATCTTAAAAGATCAAAAAAATTGAGAAAGAACAATACTTGACCTCCAGATCCGTCGCCGTTGCCGGTCATCGGCCAGTGCCCATCCGTCGCCGTTGCCGGTCGTCGGCCCAAGCCCCGACAGCCAAGGTAATTATATGTTTGGACAAAAACCTCAGTAACTTTAGCTGTTGAAATTGACCCTCGATAATCGATATATAACTTTTTTATTTTCTTATTTTATTTCTGCAGTAAATTTTTGTGCAAAATGGAGATAAAAGACGGTAATGAAAGCGCAAAAGAGATCAGCTTTAGATGTGTTCAGTGTGGATTCTCAGTCACAACTCTATACATACAGTACTCTCCTGGCAATATCCGCCTCATGAAATGTGTACGTTATTCTCTTTCCTTTTTTGCCTAAAGAATGACACTTTTCTATATTTAGAAACATTTTACGTTAAAGTTTCTATAATGACATTGATTTATAGCTGCAGAAATGTCTAGCTTGTTTTAAACACATGTTTAAAAAATCTATTCCGTCTATCCCAAGAATGACATTTTTATATTTAGAAATGATTTAATTTTAACCTTCCTATTTTATACAATGAGATACAAATTGTAGCCAGAAAAATGTGTATAACTTGTTTTCGACCGCAAGTATAAAAAATATTTAGTTCTTTCTTAAACTCACTGCCCCATCAAAGAACTTACATAAATTTGGAGGAAGGGATTAAATTTTTTTTGGGATGGAGTTGTTGGAGTATATATCCAATGTACAAACCAAATAGTTCTTTTTGTAACATTGATTTGGATGCTCTACTTATATAACCATTATACCAACCAATATAGTTCTTTTTGTAACATTGATATGGATGCTCTACTTTGTGCAGGGAAATTGCAAAGCAATTGCTGATGAGTACATTGAATGTGAACTTATGGTAACTTATACAAAAAAACATTGAACAAGAAAAAGAGAGAGCGAGAGAACGCGAATTCTATTTATAGACTTCAGTCTTGGTTTAGTTCCTAATTGTTTGTTTGGAATGTAGATATTGGTTATTGACTTGATTTTGCATAAAATTAGAGCCTACAGACACTTGTTCTACAATAGGTTCTCTCGAGAGACTTTGCATAATGAGGTATGTGATAGTGTATTTCTAGTTTTCTTTTTTTGCAATGTATGTTGACATGGCATTACAAACTGATGTTGTTCTCATTTTCTTCTTTGATTTTATTTGTTTTTTGTTCCTCTTTTGCAGGGCTTGTTGTGGAAATTTTCTCTGGGCTTCCTGATATTAGATGCTTGTATCCTTCTATTCTCTAGTTCATTTTCACTGATATCGAGCATTTATCTATGTTTTGTATTCCAACATTTCAACAAATTATTACATATATATACTTCCGTGCATATATGGAAGGTTACTCTTTCTTCGTGAACTAGGTATTGCCAAAAGTAATTGTTCAATATTGCACTGTGAGCATACAGTTGATGGTTTAGTTACACTTCATGCTAGGTTTTGACTACATGATAATTTGAAGAATTAACTATTTGCTTTTTCTTGTAAGTTTCTCTAACCAGCAATTTGCAATTACAAATCAGATATAAATTTGAATTCTAAAGTATTTCTCCTTGACGTTGCGGTTGATAATTTTCAATTGTAAGTGTTTAATGTTTTCTCTTCTCTTTATCAACAAAAATATTTTCTCTTCTTGTGAGTGCATGATTTTAATCTCGAGATAACGTATTAAGCTATTAGGCTTTATTGAACTAAGAATCAGAACTCCAGTTCAGTGATAGAATTCAATGACAAACCTCTGTTCCTAAAAGGACAATCTTTAAGACATGCATTGTTTAATGGACTTAACTAGTAAAGACCAAATGTTGGTGGTATGCACAACTCCAGATGAGAGGAGTTTGCCGGCAAGCTTTGCCTCATTTATGGGGCTTTCTGGAAAGGTGCATACCATGAGATTTGTTTCTAAAGTTTTATTTCACCGCCTATCCACTTCCCTGTGGATTCTAGATCTTTGCTTCAAACATAATGTGACGGTTGCTGTTTTTAGGTGCTCACGGGAGTCTTCTTTGGGAATCTCATATTCCTTGGCATAATTCTATTTGGCACAAGGAGGTTTCTGAATGCAAAAATAGGAGATTCAAGGTAAAGCTTTTCTTCATCTTATAATTTAGTTTATATTTGTTCTGTTGTTTATTACTCTGTTTGCCCAAAATAAATGTCTCTGTTTCTTTTCTCGGATGTTCCAAAATGCTTGACACCATTTCACTTATATATTGTTCTACACAACGTTCTAGACAGAATTTCCTGTTGTTTATGCTTTAACCGCTCTCTCTCTATATATATACACACACATTTCCTACAATCAGTAAGTAGCTGTGAGCTGCTGATTGAACGATATTTCAATCAATAAGTATATGTGAGCTGCTGATTAGCCTTCAGACAAGGACTGCCTAAGGTTCTTTATCTAAGATTTGAATTCACTAATTTTCTTACTGAGTAGAGAGTTGATAAATCCCGTCTTGCTTTTTTACTGTTAATCAGACAAAATTTTGAAATCAAGGATTAGGTGGTGAAGAATAATACGCTGGATTTGATGCTGAGATATTTCTAGAGAGAGAAGGTAGGGTAATTGGCCTCCAAGGACCAGATGATCCGACAACTACTATTTCTTAACCCCAACTAGTAGATATCGGCTGTATGAATCTTCACTATCCATTTCGTTATGTATTATGAAGACCTTTTGTGGAATGACTAGTTTTATGTTGCCAGTCAACCTACTGCAACGCTCCTTTTTTATTTCAGGTTAGCTCACACAGAGTCATTAAGGAGCGTATGATTACCTGTAATAGTTTAATTGGATAAAAAAGTTCCTATGAGCAGCAGAGGTTTTAGCCTAAATGATTTCCTCAGCTGTCAAGTTAGCATATTCATCTTTGGAGCTGAAACTTACTATTATTATTTACTTGGATTTGAAATCGACAGGTGTAAGCATATATTGCTTTCGATCCTCCTTTCTAGTTACTTCAAGATTTTTCTTATTTCCATGATGGTATGTTGCTTGCTGTCACTTGGCCTTACTGTTTCAATTACTTGGAAACTTTCTTGTTTCACAGTAATACTTTTGTACTAATGTTTTTATATATTTACAGGTGTGGGAATTTCCCTCTTCTGTTGTTTTCATCATTAACATGTTTGTCTTGTCATCTAATGCACTGGCATTGCTGGGTAAGAAGTTCTTTTCAAAATTACTTTGAAATTTGAAGTTTGTGTACTAGACTACTTGTCAGTTTATGATATTCGTCTGACATTGGAGATTTAGCCTTGGACATGTAGCTAGTGTACTAAGATGCATATTAAATATGGTTGTACTACTCATCCTCTGCACTCTCTGGGCGCTATTCTATAATCTAATTTTCATTACATTTTCAAAAACAAAAAATATTTGGGGCCCCAATTGAAGTATGAATCAAGGGTTGGGGAATTAGTGAGAGGCCTTAGGTATTAAGTTTTCGAGGCCAGAGCTAATTTTTCTCCCTATTGATAGTTTGGTGTGATAGGTCTGCCGGCTAGTTTAGACATTGTGTAACTTTAAGTATCTTTTCTTGAATTTGGTTAAATGTCATTGGTTGTGTCTCTGTGGCTGTGAAGGCCTAAAGATGAAAATACATGATTTATGACTTTGGCTGTGAAGGTATTCGTCGGTAGGATCCATAAGAGCCTAGAGATGTTGATGTTTTTGTTCTTCCACTGAGGAGTTAATGCTTTGGTGTTCTTCTTAACTTATCAGTTGGATGGATACACAAACTAACATTGGCATCTTAGAAATAGTATTACGTATTCTTATAAGAATTTAGAGATTTTGATCAGAATAACAAATATTAACAGAGTGAGTTACAGTGAAGCTTGGCTGGACATAAAGAACAACCTGGAATGCACATGGCTACAGTATGGTCTGGATTGTTGAAGATGGAGGAAAAGAAATGAGCAACCAGAATGGTTTGAATATTGACCAGGAGTTAACTTGCTGTCTCACTGCCAAATGTTCCAGTCATTTAATAGCGACGGCACTGCCTTAACCGTTTGAGTTTTAGATTGATAGCTGTTGAGATATGGAACATTTAGAATTCACATTGGAGTTATATCAATAGAGTTGTTCTGTAGGTTAGTCCCTAAATATCACTCTAGTATTTAATGGGTCCTACATGGGTCATATCTTGGTTTTAATAGTTGTTCTGTAGGTTGGTCCCCTAATATCACTAATATTCCTGTTGAGTTTTAGGTTGATATCTCGCTTCTTGGTTTTTATTGTTGAAATCAAGAGTGATATGCATAAACAGAGACTTATGGCCTCGCAAACTGTTGAAATGTCAAATATTCCAGCTTCCCACATCGGTGGGTTAGCAATAGTTGGGGGGATTTT